GTGACATCAAAGGCTTGTCACCTCCACAACCCCCTGCTGGTGCCACTTAATTGATGTTCTGGGCCATAAGGAGCCTCCAGCTGACTCAGCTCACCTTGGTCACACTTTTATTTGCCTTCAAGAGGTACCTGAGCAAAGTTGTCGTGTTCTGGCACGGGAAGGAGCTGCTCATCCCTGGAGCACAGCTTTGTGCTGGCCCCACGCTGATCCTGACCCTATCTGCGTCAGCAGGAGCTCACAGCCCATCTCCTTTCCCAGCAAAAATAGAAAATCACGCTCCTTAAAATAATAAACACTCATAAAACAGGCACAAAATTCTTAAAAGCCCCACGATTCAGAGGCAGTAAATCCACTCCACTGCAGTGGTGGTGTCGTGTTTGCAGTGAGCCATCCCGGGCTGATTCAGCTCTCACACCTCCCCCAGGGAAAGGGAGAGGATGGGTGGCTGCCTCTGGATCCCAGAGCCATCAACCACAGCCAGCAAAGCTTGGATGCTTCCAAAGCTCTTCCAGTGCCCAAAAGTTCCTCGTGGTGCGTGAGGGTGGGCAGTGATCCAGCTGCGAGCCATCCCAAATTTCCTCCAGGTTCCCTTTGTTCTGCAGGGAGGGGCAGGAGCCACACGGAGCAGGGGTTGAAGGGCAGGGGTGGTGTTGGGACATCAGGGCTCATCTCCACCTCACTGCAGATTCTCAGAGCCTTCATCCCCCAATTTCTCCTCCTTAACCCTCTGGGACCCTTGGCAGCACATTTCACCTGCTGTGTCCCCTCTTGCAGAGGATCCAGGGATGAATTTACCTCTGCACCCACATTTTGGAGCTCAGGGAAGGATCACCTGCCCCAGCTGGCTGTGAGTCCCCCCGAAACCCCCGAGGGCAGCAGGGACCCTCTCTGCCCCCCAAGCTGGGGGGTGACACAGAGCCAGGAATTTCCTCTGCCTGAACCCACAGCAATCCCTCTTCAGCTCCCACAGGGATGCCACCAGCACGTTTATTCCCATCCTCAACCCTGTTCTCTCCCTGGGAGCTGGGGAATGGAACTGATTGCAGCCTGAGCAATTTCCTCTAAAGCATTCGAGCATTTTTTGGACAAATCCATCCCTTGTTGGTCAGTGACCTCCCGGCGTGACGTCCACGCCCCAGCAGGATGGATTTGCCCGTGGAAATGATCAGAGCAGCGCCCCAGCCAGTCTTGACGTTGCCTGTGCTGCCTTCAAAGAGGCATCAAAGCTGTTTTCCAGCTGTCAGGGAAGCAGAGGAGCATCTTTATCTGTGATGAGAGGGGAGGAGGTGCAGGATCCTCCTCCCCACCACCCATCAGCCACGGGGCCATGGTGACAGTGACAGATCCATTTGAGGAGCACTAGAGCCCCCAGGCAGGAGCAGGGAGCTCTCCCTTGCCAGCCTGAAGCCTTCAAGAAATTTCTCCTTCCCTGCTGCATCCCCCTCCAGCCACGGCAGGGGCAGGAAATGCACAAAGCAGTGAAATTCATCCCGTTTTCCAGCATCCCTCTGGTTTATCCTGGTGGAATGTTGTCACTAGAAATCAGTGGAATTCATCCCATTTTTCAGCATCCCTCTGGTTTATCCTGGTGGAATGCTGTCACTCCCGTTTATCCTGGTGAAGCTTTGGCCCTGGGAGCTGTGTGTGCTGCAGCCAAGCTCCATCACCTCCATCCCTTCTCCTGCCCCAAAGGGGCTCCCACAAACCTCGCTGGGGGCTCCAGAGCTAACGAAGCTCCTGCTGTTGATGAAGGAAGGGGGATGTTCAGGTTGGATATTTGGGAAGGTTTCTCCATGGAAAGGGTTGTCCAGCCCTGGCACAGTTGCACAGGGCAGTGCTGAAGTCCCCATCCCTGGAGGGGTTTAAAAGCCATGTGGATGTGGTCCTTGGGGACATGGATTATTGGTGGCCTTGGCAGTACTGGGGGAATGGTTGGATTTTATGATCTTGGAGAGCTTTTCCAACCTCAAAGATTCCATGATCTCCATGGCTGAGCCCCTCTGGCAGCCCCAGCCCCTTTGCTGGTCTCCACAAGAGCTGGGGCTGTATTTTGGCTGAGCAAGGGGGCAGATTTGAGGGTGCTGCCCCATTCCCAATCCCTTTGGGATTTCCCTCATTCCCGAGGGGAGCTGGGATGGGGATGGCAGCCACTGACACCCTGCTGAGTGCCCTGGCACCAGCCACAGCCTGCGGGGGCTTTTAGGGGACCAGGGGCAGCCTCTGGGGAAGAGCAGGGACGTGGCAGAGCAAACCCAGTGCTGCAGACAGAGGAGGGACCCTGGGGCTGCTGTGGGAGGATTTGGGGTAGGAATCTGAGTAACCCAAGGCCTCTGTTGGGAGCATCCTCTCTGGGATGGGGGCCCAGCAGTACCCCGGGTACCAGGGAGCATCACAGCCCAGCAGGGCTGGCTCTGCCCACCCCTGGGAACCCCATCCACCCCCCTGGGATCCCTTATCCCATGACTCACCCCAGGTGACCCCAGTCTTTTCCTCCCCAACCCCCCTTTTTGTGTTTCCTACCCCTCTCCCCCTCCCCGTTCCCACCTCATCCTCCCCTTGATTCCCGTAAGTGATTCTGCCTTGCGGCTGCGGAGCCTCTGCAACTCGGAAAAACATTTTATTAACCTTCCTTGACTTTAAAGAGCATAATTACATTTTAATCTCATATTCCCGCGTTATCATTCCAGACACAGAGTCATTTGAATGCAGATCGTTCCCGGCTAATGTAATTTTACGATACAGTAATGAAGAGACGGAGCACGAGCGCCTAACACCCAATTTAGAGCTGACATTTGGGGTTCTTTTAAAGAAAAGTTTTCCCAGCCGAGGGCTTTTGCGTCCTCCCCGGCCCTGCAACGTAAGTGGGATTGGGCTCCCGCTGTGCAGGGATGGGCTGGGATGGGGGAGAGAGGCTGGTGCTGATGATGCCGGGCGGTAAATCCCCCGCGGCTGCCCCGCGTGGGTGATTCAGCGTCACGGGGCAAATCTGGGAACTCGCCGCTCCCCCGGTCCCAGGGAGAGCTGAGTCAGGGGCTGCGGCCACCCTCACCCCTCTGGAAGGGGGGAAATCGCCCTCGTGTCACCCAGCAAAGCCCCCAAGCCCAGGGCTGTCACCCCCCGGGCTGAGCCGTGCTCCAAAATCACAGGAGCAGGCTGGGACCCCCCAGCACTGATACATAAAATGGTTCCCTTTGTGCCTCAGTTTCCCTTTGGGGGTGCTCTGGGGTTCAGCCCCCTCCAGCGTTGCTTCCTGTGGAGCTTTTCAGAGCACTTGGAAACAAACAGCAAGGTTTTCCAGGGAGGATTGCAGCGGGATCCATTTCCTTCGGGATGCTCAGGCAGAGCAGCCCCTTCCCCACCCAGGGTAACACCATTCCCCTCCCTCTAAATGGGGCTGGGGTGTTTGTCCAGCAGAAAAGGGATGTTAATGAGGGGGAGAAAATGAGGGAAACTAATGAGGGGCAGGGGAGAAACATGTTCAGCCACCCCAAGTGACGTCCAGGCTGATTTTTATGGTCCTCTGCCTCAATTCCCCACCTTATGTGAGGATGAGTAAAGGATAAAACCACTCCAGAGGTGGGACCACAGCTGGCAGCACCCCCACGTTGTCCAGCCTCCCCAGACAAACCCTCCTGATCACTGTCAGCCAGTCCCAGCAGTTTTTTTGGGGTGGAAAAGCAGAGGGTGGATACTCACAGGCACCGGATTCCTCTCTGCACATTAATTTCACTTTGCTGAGGTTGCCCCGGGTGCGGCTGGAAAAGGGATCTGGGAACAGCAGGAATGTTCATGGCTGGATGGGGCAGGGGGTGCTGATGGTGTTTTTCCTGTACAGATGTTTTTGGCAGCCCATGGGTGATGTGAATGTGCTGGTACCAACCCCAGAGGTGCCTTTTCCTTTGGACCCCCCTCTCCCACTGCTTTCCCTCCCTTCTGGTTTTTTGGAGAAGAGGGGGAAGTGGCAGGAGAGCCGTGGGTGGCACTGATGGATCACTTTGGGGACAGGGTCCTGCCCTGCACCCCCATGCTGCAGCCCAGCCCCTGGGTTTGGGGTGTTTTTGTGCACCCAGGGGTCCCTCCCAGCCCCAGCCCCGTCACTCCCCTCCAGCATCCCCTCCCAGAGCAGCATCAGTCAAAGCAGCATCCCCAAAGCAGCATCTCTGCCCAAAGCAGCATCCCTCCTGGGCCAGCATGCTCCAAACAAACACCACTTCCCAAACCATCCCCCCTTCAGAGCAGCATCCCTTCCCAAACCAGCACCTCTCCCAAAATCTGCATCCTTCCAAAGCAGCATCAATCCCAAATCAGAATCCTCCAAATAAACAATCCTCTCTAAAGCAGCACCTTCCAAACCCTTATTCCTCCCCAAATTAGCATTGCTCCCTGACCAGCATCCCTCTGAAACCAGCACCTCTCCGAAAATCCACATCCATCCCAGACCAGCATTACCCCCAAACCAACACCCTTCCCAAAATCTGCATCCTTCCCAAACCAGCATTACCCCCAAACCAACACCTCTCCCAAAATCTGCATCCTTCCCAAGACCACATCTCCTAAATGAACATCTGTCCCCAAATCCACATCCCTCCCCAGACTGCAGCTTCCAAACCCCCATCCCTCCCCAAACCAGCACCTTCTGAAGGATCATCTCTCCCTGAATCCACCCCCAGCCCATCCAGTGCCCCTTCCCAAACCCATCCCAGGGCCGGTCCCTGCCCCCTGGAGCAGCCAAGGGTGGGATTCACCAGCCCCGAGTGCTGCTGCACTGAATCATCTCAATTACAGATTTGCTTGGATGCGATTTGGGAAAAAAGAAAAAAAAAAAAAAAAAAAAAAAAAAAAAATAGGAAAAACAACAAAAAAAACCCAACCCATCCCTCTTCTTCCTCCTCCTCCTCCCCTGGGAAGGGGTGATGGCAGCATAAATAGCAGCTCCCTCAGCACGGGGCCAGACGCAGCTGGAGCAGCTTCCCCTGGCACGGCCGCGGGCACCCTGCACCATGGCAGAGCCTTCGCTGCCCCTCTCCTTCCTCTGCCTCCTCGCCTTGTCCTCCGCCTGCTACATCCAGAACTGCCCCCGGGGCGGGAAGCGGGCGCTGGCGGACACAGCTCTGCGACAGGTACGGGATGGGCGCTTGGGGACACGGGAGGGACACGGTGACCTGGGGGTGATCCCTGCCACCTCTGGGCACCCCTGGCTGTGCCAGGCTGCCGGGAGCAGAGGGGTTTTTGGGTGGCAGGGGGACACGCGATGGGGCAGTGGAGGGGAGTGACAGCTCCAAAGCGCTGTTGGCACCTGGAGAAGAGGCTGGGCTGGGGGAGCAGGACAGGACAGCGCACGGAGAGGGGACAGGGAGGTCATGGGGACACCCCAAAGCGGGGACACGAGGTCACCATTGCTGGTGGCAGTGTGGCACCTCCAGGAGCTGGAAGAGGAGCTGCTTTCCATACCCAGGGGGGCATTCTCGCGGGGCTTTCTGATCCAAGGGGGTGCAAGGAGGGTTTGTTCGGGGTGCGGGCACTGAGGCAGCTCCTTCCCGCAGTGCCTGCCCTGCGGTCCCGGCAACAGAGGGAACTGCTTCGGGCCCGGCATCTGCTGCGGAGCGGAGCTGGGCTGCTACCTGGGCACGGCGGAGACGCGGCGCTGTGCCCAGGAGGATTTGCTGCCCTCGCCCTGCCAGCCCGGCGGGCAGCCCTGCGGCTCCGGGGGCCGCTGCGCCGCGCCCGGCATCTGCTGCACCGCCGGTAACCGGGCACCGACACCGCGGAGGGGACACCGGGGAGGGTGGGGAGCAGGGAGGGATGGCAACGGGGAGGGCTCGGCAGGTAAAGGTTGTCTGCTGGTGGGGTTTAGTTTTGGTGGGGGGGAAAGTGAGGGGTGGAATGGAAGCGTTCGGAGATAATTTGGATTCAGGCTGACTGTAAGGAAGGAATTGTTCCCTGGGAGGGTGGGGAGGCCCTGGCACAGAGTGCCCAGAGAAGCTGTGGATGCCCCTGGATCCCTGGAAGTGTCCAAGGCCAGGCTGGACAGGGCTTGGAGCAGCCTGGGACAGTGGGAGGTGTCCCTGCCCATGCCAGGGAGTGGCACAAGAGGTTTTTTGAAAGTCCCTTCCAACCCAAACCATTCTGATTTGAAGGATTGGGCTCACAGCTCCTTGCTGACCCACCACGAGCTTTTCCTGGCCAGCACATCCTCTCTGATGTGCCAGAAATTCCAGCCCCGCTCCCTGCTTAACAGGAGAGATAAACTGGAGCACGAACCGTGCTGCCACCAACCCCTTCCCCAGCCGAAAACGAGCCCCTGACGATCCCAAATAACCTGTTCCACGGGCACGTTTTGCTTCCTGCGGCAGACACGTGTGCCATGGACAGCGGCTGCCTGGGCGAGGGCAGCGAGGGCGCTCAGGAGGCGGCGGAGGAGGAGAAGAACCTGACGGTGCTGGATGGCTCGGCCGGAGATCTGCTCCTCAAGCTCATGCACTTGGCAAACCGGCAGCAGCAGCAGGGCAAGCACCCCCTGCTCTGAGACCCCCCCATCCTGACCGAGCCCCCCACCTCGGCTCTGTACATAGGAGACCCAATAAAAGCCCTCGTGCACTGTGGTGGCCTCGTCCTGGGCGCTGGGGTGGCTCCTGGGGGCTCCAGGGGATCTGGCTGGGGCTCAGGATGGGGGTGCTGGAGGGTCCTTCTGTCCCCAGATCCTGGCAGAGTGCAGGTGGTTCGGATGGGCTGGGTGCAGGATTTGGGCTCTGTCATTTTAGCTCCTGGGGGAAGGAGCTTGGGCAGAGCTGGAATTTGGGATCTGGAGTCCCACCCAGCAGCATCCCCAGCCCCAGGGGACTGGGGACAGCTGGGGTGTGCCACTGTCACCTTACCTCTTTGGGACAGATTTGGGGCCTCGCTGCCTTCAGCAATCAGCACAGCATCTACTAAAAATGATAAAAAGTAAGGAAAAGCTCTTTCCTTGGGAAAAGCACCCCAGATTCCTCAAGAGCAGAGAGTTTTGGGCTCCCAGCTCTAAAGACCCCCTCCAGGGTTGGTCTCATCTTTCCCCATCCCCTCTGGATCCCAACAGGGAGGATCAGCCCCCGTTATCCCCCAGTCACCCCCAGAATTTGGGGTATCCCACCCCTCTCCCGGCTCTCTTACCCTGCAGGGTCCTTGCTCCGAGGTCTCTCCGGGCTGGGACTGGCCAGGGCACAGGGGACAGCTCGTCCTTTATACTGTCCCTGAGGGAGGTGGCACCTCCGGGGAGGTGGAGCTCCCTGGCACGGCGGGATCCATCCTGCCCACGGCAGCTCCCTGCAGGGAATGCAGGATTGGTCCAGGATCTGCTTCCCACAGCCAGCATCTGATCCCAGCCCTGGAGAGGGGAGCGACCCCAAATCACCCCAAAATCATCGGGAAAGTGGTGACACCAGCATGGATGAGGGACTCCAAGCTGGGATGAGGGAATTGGGCTTTCAGCCCAGCTCTAGCACTTGGACTTTTCCAAGAAGCAGGATGTGAACCCCCAACATTCCTGCAGCACTGGGAATGAGTGGCTGAGCTGGGAATGCTCCATCTGAACATCTCAAAATCAGGCAAAAATCGAGTCCCCAAAAAGCACCAGGGGCTGATAACGGGTTTTTCCATATTTGTCTCCCTGAGACATGTCCTGCAGGGGTCTGGGCACCCCTGGAGCAGCCACGGGGGCTCTGGGGTGACAATTCCCTCCCTCCACGCTGTGCTGCAGCCGGAGCTGAGCTGCTGGGACAGCACACAGCAGGTGCTGAGCCCCATTTCCAACCCATTACCATGGATCCCAGTGCCTGCCTTGTCCCCAGGGACTGGGACTGACCCCGGGTGGGTGACAGGGACCCGGCTGCCCTCGTGCCACCCTCGCTAAGTGGTGGATTTTGAAGCAAGCCAGAGGGACAGGAAAAGGTCATGGCTGTCCTGCTCCGGGCTGCCTAATTCCCAATTAAGCCAGTGCAGGGTAACGATCTCAGTGGACGTCAAGGTTTGTCCTCAGCAAGGAAATTTATTCAAGCTGGGAAGCTCCTAATTGGGATAAGGAAGGCAAGGGGCTGGGGTGAGCAGGACCTTGGGTGGTTGCGTCAGCCTTCGGCCTCATCCTCAGCACTGCTTCTCAGGGAGGAGGAGGGGGGGCTTTGTCTGCTGGTGATGTGGCTCAGGGCACCTCACTGAATCCCTGTGTGCAGCTCCAAGGAGGAGCAGTGGGGAAATTTGGGATTTCAGGCCTTTGCCCGGGAGGTTTGGTGTTCTCAGGTGGCTTTGGAGCTGTTGGATGAACACGGGTGGGGATGGGCTGGGTGTCACTGTTATCCCAGAGCAGGATGAGCCCAGTGCTGAGCAGCCCCCAAAGGCCATGCACGGATGGGTGGACAGGACCAACAAGGACAATCCCATGGATGATCCCAAAGGATATGGGGTTGCTTCTTCCCACCCAGAGGGATTTGAAGCCAAGGGAAACACACACCTCTCTCACCCCACTCCTGGGTGGACACATCCCACCTGCAGCTGCCTTCCTTCATCCCTACCCTCCCCATGCCAGAGGGGTTCCCAATGGGATACACCACAGCCCAGCAGCCCAAAGTGGCTGCCAGAGGAGGGCCCCAAGCCCAGACTCAATCCACAACCTCCACACGTCCATCCACAACCTCCATATGCCCATCCAGCTCTATCCACAACCTCCACATGTCCATCCACAACCTCCATATGCCCATCCAGCTCCATCCACAACCTCCATATGTCCATTCACAACCTCCACACATTCCTCCAGCTCCATCCACAACCTCCACACGTCCATCCACAACCTCCATATGCCCATCCAGCTCCATCCACAACCTCCACACATCCCTGCTGCTGCCAGACTCATCACAGAGGAGCAAACCAACAGCTCGTCCTTGACCTCACGTCCTCGACCTCCGGCTATTAGCCTTGCCCTCTGCTGTGGGCAGCAATGCCTTGTGGTTTTTAAGGAACACTGGTGACGCCGGTACCAGAATCCCTAAGTAGGAGCCAGGACTATAAATACAGGGCCAGCTGTTGGGATGAGCAGCCAAAATTCCCCCCCGTCCCGCCGCTATGTCCTGCAAGGCTCTGGCCCTCTGTCTCCTGGGGCTCCTGACTCTCTCCTCCGCTTGCTACATCCAGAACTGCCCCATCGGGGGCAAACGCGCTGTGCTGGACATGGACATCAGGAAGGTAAGGTCCTGGTGGCTCGGGGCGCTCCCAACCCCATCCTTCCCTCCTCCCAACCTTCCTTTCCCCCGTTCCCCGAGCAGTGCCTGCCCTGCGGTCCCCGGAACAAGGGCCACTGCTTCGGGCCCAACATCTGCTGCGGGGAGGAGCTGGGCTGCTACATCGGCACCTCGGAGACGCTGCGCTGCCAGGAGGAAAACTTCCTGCCCACCCCCTGCGAGTCGGGACGCAAACCCTGCGGCTCCGGGGGGAGCTGCGCCGCTCCCGGCATCTGCTGCAGCACCGGTGAGGGGGCACGGGATCCCGGGATCCCTGTCCTGAGCCCTCGCACACCCGGGAGGGAATCCAGGGTTCTTAGAACAGTGAGAAAGGGGAGGATGCCCAAGGGATTGTCTTTGTCCCGTCCGTGTGTCTATCCATCGCCCCGACAGCCAGACCACGCTCCATGAGCTATCCAGACCCAGGGAAGGGATGAGACCAGGAGGGTTTGGGGCAGAGGGAAACAAACAAATTTTGGGGGCTGAGTAAGTGCAGGAGCCACGTCCCCTCCTGCTCTTCGTTTTTCCTCAAAATCCCCCCTCCTTCCTAAATTAAACTACAGAGATCCTGCTGTAAATCCCAGGAAGCAGCAGAGAACGGAGTGAGCACGAGCTCATTAAACCCCAGCGCCGGGGGGTCTCTGGATGTTTGGGGGATTTCTGGGGGCTGCTTTTGGGGTCCCTGGGGGCTGTTTCGGGGATCTCTAGGGGCTGTTTTAGGGGTCCCTGGGAGCTAGTCTGGGGAGTCCTTGAGGACTGTTTCAGGGATCTCTGGGAGCTGGTTCAGAGGGTCCCCGGGGGCTGTTTCAGGGATCTCTGGGGGCCGTTTTGGGGGTTCCCTGGGGTCTGGTGGGTGCTGCCTGATTTCACACTCCCCCCTTTCTCCCCTCAGAGGGCTGTGGCACTGACTCATCCTGTGACCAGGAGCTGCTGTTTGTGTAGCCCACCCGGGAGGGATCCCGCATCCATCGCTGCCCCAGCCCCACTCCAGGCTGTGAGTCAGACTGAAGTGATGAGCTTAATTAGAAATAAAACTTGGACAGAAAAACAATCCAGACATAAGTCTGTGGGTTTTGTGTGTTCGTCTGGTTGAGGTGCAGGCTCGGGAGAAGAAGCCACTTTTAGGGAAAAGCGGAGGTAAAAAGTGAGGGTTTCAGGTCAATGAACTGAGGGAGGGAGGGAAGGAGGGAGGGACCTGCAGACCATGGCTCAACACTGGGCAGCCCAAAACCAGAAGTTTTAGGACAAAGCTAACAGCCTGCAAGACCCCAACAACCCAAAACACCCAATGTTATTACAATTTTATCTATACCTTCAGTGGTGATGAATAAATTAAGCCTAAAGGGAAGAATAAGGAGACACCAGAAATCCTGGATCATTCAGACACATTTTCTTATTCAGCCACACCAAGGGATGTGCAAAGGAGGGTTTGAAGTGTGAAATCAAGATTACAATTAATTCCTTCCCCCAACAACAAAAAAGGGAAGGTCAGTGTTTCCTACAAATTCATTCAGCCCTCGTTTGCTTTTGGAAGCATCCAGAGGAGCTGACAGCGAGGAGCTGAGCCAGGCTCTGCCTCGGGACTGCTCCTGCTCCTACGCTGTGTGTGAAGGCAGCAGGGATCCAAACACGTGGGAGGTGGGATCACAGGCACAGCAACAGGGCTGAGCCAGGCTGCTGGAGCCTCCAAGTTTCCCCTCACCCCCTTTTCCCACAGGGGTTAACCCTTTGGAGGCAGCACAGCCAGACCCCTTCTCCACCACTTCTGTTGCCAATTTACACATTCCAAGGAAGGATCTGTGTTTTCTGGGGGGCTCTGGACACAAGGCAGGCCGGGAGCCCCCTGCCAGGGTGCTATGAGAGCACCGTGCGCTTGACGATCCGCCCGTCCTTGTCGATGGCGAAGTTGTAGTTCCGTGGGTTGTCCAGGCACTCCTCGATCCGTGCCTCCAGGTTCTCGGGGGTGATGAAGTTTTTGGCTTCCTCCTGAAGCAAAGGACAAGGATTGTCCCCCTCAGGATTATCCCACCCTGTTCCCAGAGCTCTGGCTCAAGCTCTCTCCCATCCATGTGCTGTCAACACCCCTGGAAGGTGCTGGCACTTTTGTTCCCAGCTGCCAGCTGAAAAATCTGTGGAAAACAAGCCCACGGCTTCCACATGGCTCCCTGGCAGGGAATTCTGGCAGCCTGCTTCCCAGGAGGCACCAGCTGCTCTTACCTGCAGCTGGAGAACCTCCTTCTCCTTCTCCTCCAGGAAAGCCTCCATTTTCCTGGCCTGTTTCTCGGCAATCTCTGACTTCCTCCTCTTCTGCTCCTCCTCTTCTTTCCTGAGTCTCTCCTCTCTGCTAGACAGAAGGAAAATCTGATGGAGGAGGTGACATATCCATCCCCAGGAGAGCAGGAGGCTGCCCAGAGCATCTGGACTTGGCCCTCAGCAGCAAAAGGCACAGGAACCACGACAGCTGCACAGGCAGATTAATTTAAAAAGGTCAGGATTTCCCAGTCACTGTGGTATCTTATGAAAATCCCTTTGCCAGGATTTTTTCTCCTGAGAAGCTGAGAAGCCTCAGAAGAAAAGAGAAACAATAATTACCTGCTGCTGTGGAATGCAACAGGTGCATCTTTCGTTGGTCCATGTGGATTGTTTTTACTTGATGACCAGTGATGGTCCAGCTGTGTCAGACTCTCTGTCTGTCACAAGTTTTTCTTATTCATTCCTTTCCATTCCTTTCTAGTTTTCTGATAGATCCTTTCTCTCTATTCTTTTTAGTATAGCTTTAGTATAGCATTTTAATATAATATCATAATATAACAAATCAGCCTTCTGAAACATGGAGTCAAGATTCTCATCTCTTCCGTCGTCCTGGCACCCTCGAACACAACGACAGCCAGAACCACAGAATCATTAGGGTGGAAAAGGCTGTGTCCTCTTGTCCTCTGCTCCCAGGCTGCAGATCCTGACCCATCCTGGCTGCACCCTCCTGTCAGGGAGTTGTGGAGTGACAAGGTCTCCCTTGAGCCTCCTTCTGCCCAGGCTGAGCTCCCTCAGCTGCTCCTACCAGGACTTGAGCTCCAGACCTTCCCCTGGACACACTCCAGCCTCTCCATGTCCTTCCTAAACTGGGGGCTCAGAACTGGACACAGCACTTGAGGTGTGGCCTCACTAGTGCTGAGCACAGGGGAAGAACCCCTTCCTTGCTCCTGCTGGCCACACCATTCCTGATCCAGGCCAGCAGCCATTGGCTTTCTTGGCCACCTGGGCACACTGCTGGCTCATGTCCAGCCTGCTGTCTCTCAGTCCCTGCAGGTCCCTTTCTGCCTGGCTGCTGTCCAGCCCCTCTGTCCCCAGCCTGTAGTGCTCAGGGGTTGTTGTGCAGGACCCCACACTTGGTCTCATTAACCCTCATTTCCTTGGATTCAGCCCCTGGATCCAGCCTGTGCAGGGCCCTCTGCAGAGCCCTCCTGCCCTGCAGCAGAGCCACCCTCACACCCAGCTCAGTGTCACCTGCAAATCTGCTGGTGGAGAACTCCATCCATGAGGAGCAAAGACATCAAACAGGGCTGGGCCCAGCCCTGCCCCCTGGGACACCTCTGGTGACTGGGAGTGACCAATCCCCACTGGGCCCGGCCATGAACCAGTTCCTAACCCAGGAATGGCCCTGCCCAAGCTTCTCTGTAGATATTATCCCAGACTCTGACTGGGCTCAGTCCTGCCTGAGCAGAAGCCAAAGCAGGCAGGGCAGTGCCTCCCTGGCCCTGCAGGGGCCGTGCTGACCTGCGAGCCCTCTGCCGGGCGTTCTCCTCCTCGTTCCAGGCCATCAGCCGCCGGTGCTCCTCCTGCTCCTCCGGCGAGCCCTCGGCAGCCAGGCGCTCCTCCCGCTTCATCTGCAGCACCTCGGCCCTGAACTCCGCCCTGCGGGAGGAGGGGAGGGCACTGAGCTCCTGCCCGGGGCTGGGAGCACAGCGGGCTCTCCCCAGACTGCCCCACAGCAGAGCCAGCCCCAGCACCCTGCCCCACGGTGAATCCAGTCCCACCATCCACACTCTTCCCTGCCCCACAGTGCTCCCAGCCCCAACACCCTGACCCTCCCCTGCCCCACGGTGATTCCAGTCCGCCCATCCCCACTCCTCCCTGCCCCTCATCAATCCAAACCCCACTGCCTTCTCCCACCCCCCAGTAGGACACCCGTGGGGCAGGGACACCCGTGGGACACACGGATACCCGTGGGGCAGGGACACCCTGCATGAGACAGGGACAGCCCGGGGACACGGACATCCCTGGGGCACGGACACCCGTGGGGCAGGGACACCGGCGGGGAGGAGGACACCCTACACGGGGCAGGGACAGTCAGGGAACACGGACATCCCTGGGGCAGGGACACCCTACAGGGGACAGGGATAGGGAACACGGACACTGGCGGGGACAGGGACACCCTACACGGGACAGGGACTCCCATGGGACACGGACACCCGTGGGACACACGGACACCGGCGGGGACAGGGTTCTCCACAGGAGATAGGGACAGCCAGGGGACACCGACATTCGTGGGGCAAGGACACCCTACACGGGACAGGGACAGCCAGGGGATGCGGACATCCCTGAGGCAGGGGCACCCTACACGGGACAGGGACACGGGACAGGGACACCCGTGGGACAGGGACACCGCCACGGGACACGGGACAGGGACACAGGACAGGGACACAGACCCCCCGCCGGACATGGAGGCGGATCCCTGAGCCTACACGGGACAGGGGCACCCGTGGGACAGGGGCACTCGTGGGACAGAGGCACTCGTGGGACAGAGATAGCCAGGGGGCACGGACATCCCTGGGACAGGGACAGCCATGGGACACACGGACACCGGCGGGGATAGGGACACCCTACACGGGACAGGGACTCCTGTGGGACACGGACACCCGTGGGACAGGGACACCCTCCATGGGACAGGAATAGCCCGGGGACACGGACATCCCTGGGGCAAGGACACCGGCAGGGACAGGGACACCCTACACAGGGCAGGGACAGCCAGGGGACATGGACATCCCTGGGACAGGGACACCCGTGGGGCAGGGACACCGCCACGGGACACGGGACAGGGACACAGGACAGGGACACAGACCCCCCGCCGGACACGGAGGCGGATCCCTGAGGAACGGGGAACCCACCGCCCACGGGACACGGCCCCCCAAACTCGGCACCCGCCCCCACGGGACACGAATTCCCGAGCCGTGTCCCAAGGACCGCCACCCCTGCCCCCCAGGGGACACGCCATCCCTCTGGGGACACAAACCCCGCCCGGACACGGGACCGCAGCCCGAGGGACGCCACTGTCCCCGCGGCACAGGTGCCACCCCCTCCCACCATCCCACGCCCAGGCGAGCCCCTCCATCACCAGAGCCGAGCCCGAATCCCCCCAGCCCCTTTATTCCCCTCGGGGGGTCCCGGCTCCATCCCGCGGGGGTCGCTGGCTCCGGTCAGGGGCGCAGCGCGGGCGGCTGCGGGAAAGGGACGGGGGGACCGGTCAGACCCGGGCCCGGGGACCCCCAGGATCGGTCAGTCCTGGTCCAGGGGACCCCCCAGGACCCCCAGCACCCCCAGGATCGATCAGTCCCGGTCCAGGGGACCCCCAGGACCCCCAGGATTTGTCAGACCCTGACCCGGGGACTCCCCAGGACCCCCAGGATCGGTAAAACCCTGTCCCGGGGACCCCCAGCACCCCCAGAATCGGTCAGTCCCGGTCCTGGGACCCCACCCAGGACCCCCAAGATGGGTCAGCCCCGCTCCCGAGGACCCCCAGGATCGATCAGTCCCGGCTCCGGGGACCCCCAGCACCCCCAGGATCGATCAGTCCCGCTCCCGGGGACCCCCAGCACCCCCAGGGTCGGTCAGTCCCGGTCCCGGGGACCCCCCCAGGACGCCCAGGATCCCCAAGATGGGTCAGTCCCGGCTCCGGGGACCCCCAGCACCCCCAGGGTCGGTCAGTCCCGCTCCCGGGGACCCCCCAGGACCCCCCAGCCCCTCTCCCGCTCACCGGCAGCTGCTCCTCCCGCCGGGGGGGACACGGGAGGGGACGGCAGCGCCCGAGAGGGGACGGGACCTGCGGGAGGGGGGAAAAAACAGCGGGATGGGGGGATCACCCCAGGAGTGGGGGGAATTCCAGGGTGGATATTCTGGGAATCCCCCCATGGTGCGGGGGATTCGGGGAGGAAGGAAAATTTGTGGAGAAGATAAGTACAGGGAAAAGGGGATGATCTTGGGGG